TTTTTAAGTGTTTGGCTTTTGTTTATACAATCATCCTTGTCTGGTTCTTAGGAGATTGAGTATGAATAATGTTATTTTGACAAAATACGCCGTCTAAAGGCTTTCGTAACAATATACGTTTAGTTTAAACATATTTTATTCACAATGTGAAAAGGATCGGGGACAAGTTCTTTCAACTTATTAAACCCCTCTTCGAAGATATTTACAAATAACTAATAACCACACAAGCAATTATTAGAAACAGAGACAGAGAAAGACTGAAAGATAACAGGAGGAAATGCTATATATACAAAAGGTGTTAGAGAGAAGACTACTGGAATCGTTTAGATTTGCATATACATTGATGTACATTTTTTAATATAATTTCATTTTTATGATTTGTCAGATCTGCAATGCCGTTTAAAATAACAGATAATGTAATCACAGAATTACTACATATATCTTGAATAGCTTTAAGCATGATCTTTCTATGTTGATTGAGTAAAGAACATTCTAAGAAATAGTGATGAGCATTTTCGCATGGGTTTCCACATGCGCAGGATGGATAAGTGATTAGCCCTACTCTGTACAGCTCGTAACTTAATCTACTAGCTTCATGACGTAGTTGAGTATGGAATATGTTAAATTTTCTAATACCGTAATAAAAGTACAGTGGAGCTTGAGTTATATGATGTTATTATGCTCGATTTAAACTTTGATAGTGAAGTACAATTTCTTACATTTGTAGGTAGATTGTTCCACAATCTTATAGTTGATGGGAAGAACGACTCATGAGAATGTTTTATTCTTGTTCTTGGCAAGCAGATATTGCCTGAATTTCTTAGATTATATTGACTCCTGGAGCCCACGTTCTGAGGAATTATTTCTTTTAGGTAGATTGGACTTTTGTTGTTTTGAATATTGTAGAACAAAGACAATTTTCTTATTCTTCTACGCTCTGATAGTGCTTCCATGCCTGTTTTATAATATAGTGAATTAAAAGAAGAATATTTGGGAAGTCCTGTAATAATTCTTGCAGCTTCCATCTGGAGCCTTTCCAATTTTAAACTTAGTTCTTTTCCGCAGCCATCCCAGACTTCGCATGCGAACTCAAAGTGTGGTCTAAAAACTGTGTAAATCTTTAGAAGTGTATTTCTGGTAAGAATATATTTAAGTTTTCTCATTGAGTAAATCATTTTAGAGGTTTTGGAAACAATATTAGATACATGGGAGGACCATTTGCCGTTCGATGAAAGTATTATCCCCAAATGTTTATGATCTTCTACCGTTTTAACAATCTTATCGTCAAATAGTAAGTTAATCAAGTAAATATCATCTTTAAGTGAGAAAAGTATTTATTCTGTCTTATCTGGGTTGTATGATATCAACCACTTGTTTGCCCAGTCGTTTAACCTTCTGAGATTTATGTTTAATGAGGTTTCTATTCTGTTAAGATTTCCAGAAGCCTTGCCTAATGATGTGTCATCTGCAAATAGTCGCGTTATGCAATCTAAGTCATCAGCAATATCATTTACATAAACAATGAATAAAAACGGACCCAACACTGATCCTTGTGGGACGCCAGCTTGGAGTAACCTTGGTTTAGACAGGGCTCCATTAACAAAGACCTTTTGATAGCGATTATATATGTAATTACATAACCACTCTAACAATCTACCTTTAATACCATACATTTCCAATTTATGTATAAGCCCTCCGTGCCAAACACGATCAAAAGCCATCGAAACATCACAAAAGACCATACAATATTGGTCCTTATCATCTAGAGCTTGGCATATTTGATGATATATTTCAATTAATTGATGGACAGGTGAACTCCCAGCTTGAAAACCAGCTTGGTATTTGTACAATAACTTGTTCTCGTTGAAATAGTTAGATATATGCTTGAATACAGCTCTCTCAAACAGTTTACCGACACAACTTATAAGAGATATCGGTCTGTAGTTTGATGCTTTAGTTTTGTCACCTTTCTTGAATACAGGCATTACATGTGCTAATTTCCATTCTGATGGATACGCACCTTTTCGTAATGACAATTCAAAAAGCAAACATAATGGCGCATTTATTGAATGAGCAGTTTCTTTTAAAAGCTTATGACTTATTCTGTCGGGACCCGCAGCTTTATTCAGTGGCAAACATTTAATTATATCTGTAATTTCCTGTTTAGTCACTGATATAAATTCTAAAGTGGATTTTGTACGTCTACCAAATTGAGGAGGAGCCATATTCTCGTCATTTACACAGGAGATCGAGGCAAAGAAGTTAATTAAAAATTCAGCTTTATCAATATCTGAGAAAAGCGACGGGTCATTATCATTAGGATATTGTTTGAGAGGGGGAATGCAAGTTGCTGTACCTGAATGTTTTACAACATATCGCAGCATTTTCCAGTAGGAGGGTTTATTTTTAAAGTGTAATTCAGTGATAAAATCATCAATTTTGGAATAAGAATTCTCTTTTGCATGGTATTTCATATTGTTAACTTTATTTCTCTGTTTCTTATACAATCGAATATCTCTTTCACTATCAGTTCTTTTTGCTTTCTTTCTCATTCTATCAGGTTTTCTGCATTCCCGTCTCAACTCAGTATCGAACCAAGGCTTATCACCAGGACGAATCGTTACAGTTTTAGAATGTACACATGAACTAACATATCCTATGAAACATAGTGAAAGACTTTACATGCATCATCAACACATTCACAGTTGTTAAAAATATCAAACCAATCAGTATTTTCGATAAGATTGTTAAGTTAATCGTATTTACCAGTTTTGTAATATACGTTGACATATACATGTAGTCTATATACTTACGAGAAAAGTCCTTCAAATAACTTGCATTCCCTGTGGTAACAGTTTCGGGTTATGGTGAATAACGGATAATTTCCCAGAGTGAATAATGTTTCACTTGAAACATTTAGTGAATCGGGGTTCCCCGATACGTAACAAAATCTGTGAAATTGTTTGAATGACGTCACTTCAAAATGACTTTGACGTAATAAACAATACATGGCAGTTGTTTCTTGTGAAGACCTAACGTCAAACTAAATACATATCCTATAGCACTGAGTATAACCTGTGTGGAATGTTTGATGTTGATCAAACATAACTGAATTATTGGCAGGGTTCTGTCAACACTGCTCGAGCATCACCAAATATGTTTCTACCTTCTACCTGTCTCTACCTTCCTCCAAGTCTGAAAATTACTCCATCCTTTCCATGAGAGTTGGGATATCAGATAAAACATAATTTGTATCTAACTGCCTTCAATGCAGTCGACCCTATGGGGTGTACAGAGAAAATTAGATTCAACAATTTTGTACATCAATTTGAATTCTATATTGAATTAAATGACAAAACAGGAGGCGTTTACAGTCTGCCATCGTCAATGAATTGAGTGTGTTTTGGACATCCCAAAGACTCAGGTATTGTCAAAGGAAAGACCAAAGGTCCAATAGTACCATCCCGGTCATAGTGGGATTGTACAAAGAAAAAGACTTCTCTCTATGTCGACTCTAAACGACTCCAGCAATGTATGCCGATGGTCTAGAAGAATCAAGAGCCGTGGCTTTCGGAAAGCGAGTACAGTTCTTGCACATTCAATGTGAAAATGGATGCTATGAATTTAATAGCATTCTCAAACAAAAATCAGTTTCCCTAAATGTCCCCAATTATTTGCAACTTCAGGAACCACCATCGGCGCCATTTTCTGCGAACACTATTTCATCCAAACTGATGGACCACAGGTTATAAGAACGGAAGCCAGGCCATGGATTTGGCGGGTCATTTCTATTTGTTTGTTTGTTTGTTGTTTAACGCCGCACTCAGCAATATTCCAGCTATATAGCGGCGGTCTGTAAATAATAGAGACCCTAACCAGACAATCCAGTGATGAACAGCATGAACATCAATCTAAGCAATTGCGATATGACGACATTTGTCCACCAAGTCAGCGAGCAGCTCATGATATAAATTTCACTACAAGCCCCTGCCAAAATTTATAACACTGTTACCAGCCTGTAGTGGTATGAGGGCGGCGGGGGTAGCCCAGTGGTCAAAGCGTTCGCTCGTCACGCCGAAGGCCCGGGTTCGATGCCCTCATGGGTAAAATATGTGAAGCCAATGTCTGGTGTCCCCCGCCGTGATATTGCTGCAATATTGCTAAAAAGCGGCGTAAAAACCATACTCACTAACTCACTGACTGTTGTGGTATGATCACTGGTGACCTCTCTGTTACGTACTGTAAACATTATCAATGAAATGTAATCGTCACACAGTCGTATCAGAATAAAGTGTTATAAAAAGCAAAAGAGCGGGGAAATATACATATGGCTTACTGACAACCCGTTACTGGAAATCAAGAAGGGTTTACTTACATTTACAGAAAGTTTTTGAAACAAGTCAGTGGAATATCAGGTTGGTAAAATATTGGCTTGGTATTAGCAATCTCAGAGAGGAGTTCAAGTTCAATTCAGTTTTGTTACAGGCACGAGGAGGACGTTTCCAAATGTAGTGTATGAATGATCATCGTAATGTCTGAGGAAATTCCTCAAATTGACCTTTATAATTGTTGTCCTTTTTCAGACGAACAAATGAATTTGGAGAAATTCACAAGCACCGAAATAATGTTGACAAACCTTTAAACATGACCAAGGCGTATCTGAGATCAGAACCCACAAGAAAAAGGATAAGCATGATTAAATTATACAACTTCGTACAAATAATTCATTATTACGGAACCTTGTTAATCCGGACAATATCACTGGGAAGGGTAAATTCTGGATTAAAGGGTACTTCATGAGACGACGGACAAACTGCAGTGAATGTTGTCGAGTGCCACGTATCATTTCTCATACGACTGATACAGTATTGCTTTTTTCATTTGAAAAGCATTTCCACGCGACGTTATTTGGAAATCAATGCATTTCAGCCAATGGGATTAAGGCATACACACATCCGCTTCACAAACATCAATGATGTAGGCTCCAAACGCTATATAAACGTGCGTATTGCACAGGACTTCAGTGCGGGAGGCAGCTCCTGGTGAAAGAGACAGTGACGAAGATGTTACTGACAACGCTGTTTTTAGCAGGCATCATTGTTGCTGCAGGTAAATTATTATCTTACTTCTCAATTACACTATTTATTTTATTTTATTTTTTTATTTATGAAAGGGGCTTAACAATACAACTGTATTGACAAAATAGTAATAATGTTTACTGTTACATGTCTCTCTATATTGTATTGGAATCTGAACATCTCGCTCTTTCGACTTATTCAGTGGACCATTCAGATTTAATCCACTAGATACAGGTGGCTTATAATATTGTGTTACTTTAGATTTAGTACATTCTAAGTGATGTAATTCTCCAAGCAAGTTTGGTCGTGTAGCATCGGAACTCTCTCTGTGAACGTCACTGGTTCATTACAATGGTTTAAGACTCAAAGTGAGTGAGTAACTATGGTTTTACGCCTCTTTTAGCAATTTTCAAGCAATATCTCGATGTGGGAAACCAGAATTGGGCTTCACACATTTTACTCATGTAGGAAATCGAACCCCGGTCTTCAGCGTGACGGGCGGACGCTAAAACCACTAGGCTACCCAAACGCCCTAAAACTCAAGGAGTTATGGACTTCAACTTTCAATATTCTTTCAATGCAATGCCCAAAGTGATGCAACTCTTTGACTCAAAATGATTTAAGGAATTTTTACAAGCACCATGGTGGCATAGGGAGTGAGTGCGAATATTTCAGCAATATCTCAACGGGGGACACCAGAAATTGGCTTCACACAATGTACCTCTTTTCCGAATCGAACCCGGGCCTTCGGCGTAACGAGCGAACGCTTGAACTACTAGGCTACCCCACCGTCCCGTGTTATCGGGAGACACATACACTAAGATGAGAAGGCGAGACTCCTTGTATCCATGATCCCTGCAGTAACACTCCGAATATGATTCCCAATGAATATTTGTTGGATACACATATCCGCCGTGTTTGATATAAAATGCCTCTCAGTATACATTCTGTACATTCCTCGAAAGGTCTATTTTTAGATCAAGTCCTATTGCAGAGATACTTCTCCGGGGATATCAGAATGTTATTGTGGTTTCAAGATTCCAGTTAGAATTGATCTTCAGCAACTCATGTTTGTCGTCAGAGGCGACTAACGGGATGGGATAGTCAGACTTGCAGACTTGGTTGACTCATGTCATCATAGCCAAATTGCGTAGATCGATGCTCATGCTGTTGATCACTGGATTATCTGGTCCAGAGTCGATGTTTTACAGGCGGCCGCCATATAGCTGGAATATTGCTGAGAACGGCGTTCAACAACAAACATACAAATCCAGATTCCAGATTACGGAACTGGTTATTTCGGGTTCCATGCCCGAACTCCTGAGTTTAACCAGTTTGGGGTGACCTGCCCTTGCGTTACTGAAACAGCTTTTCAGCTGACTGATTCCTGGTCACTTCGATGTTTACAGGCGGTTGGAGAACTGTGCACAAGATGATACCAGAAATTGTCGACGCCATGGAGACCAATACCGAGGCCGAGAAGACCTTCAACGAAGGCAATAAAGCTGAAGTCATCCTCGCGCGAGAAAGGGCGAGACTGAGCGAGAGAATCGCAAGGTAGGGATTGGCTGATGTATTACCATCCATCTGTGTTTTTTCTGTATGCATCATACACTCACCATTTCATTCATGTCTGTTGCTTTTTGGCATTGTATTCCTCCACATCAATGGAAGATAACAGCTTTTGTTAATGAGTGTGGTTTTAAGCCGCTTTTAACAATATTTCAAAACTATACACTGTTATTGTGCGTCACACAATGTACCCATGTAGGTAATCGAACTCAGGTCTTTGGCGTGACGAGCGAACGTTTTAACCACTAGGCTACCCCATAGCCCTGACGGCGGGTAGCAGATGTGTTTTTGTGTCTGAACATAGTTTGTACTTTGTTGGCCGAACACTGAGAGTTGGTTTAACCAATGAAACGTTAAAGTGTATTGAAGTTTAAAACATATATTAAAAATTTGTTGGCGGATTTTTTTTACAGTAAATAATCGTTAATTTTACTGGAGACAATTTGTAAGTTTATTTCTTTCCGCTTATCTTCATATACGGTTAACTTCTGCATGAATGTTTTGTTCGTTTGTTTGTTTTCAGTAAATGTGACAGGAAGCTGAAATACCGGCCGCTAGATGGCGTGTGCAACAATATTAAGAATCCAAACTGGGGAGCGCCATTACAAGCATTCAGGAGAATCCTTGACCCCAAATATGACGATGGTGAGTATGCATAGATCTATATTTTCGAAATATTGAACATCTTAATCCAAAACTGAATGATTTTACGAAACAGCTTCTAGATTCACATTCGACATGACCGATAATATTGACTAATGACTACTTTGCAGGGAAAGAAACCTTTCAATATTTCCCACTAGATACATGACCATTGAGTGGACAATAATCAGTGGTCCTCTCTGTACTTCACTAGTCCAAAATAACACTCGTAGATTTACTTAACTATCAATACAAAATTCACTGGCCACCAGGACCAATCCAAACTTATCATTTAGTGGTCCTGGAGATTTTTTACTAGCCAGCTACCACAGGACCAGCGTAAATTTCGCACACTGAGTTAGTAGTTAAGGATATTCGATCTTATCAGTGTTAATGACACGATACCTCCTTCTGTGTGTCATAGCAACATTCATCCATATTCATACGAAATTTCTGAAAAAGACTTAGTCCGTAATAAGGTTCAGGTTTTGTTAGAAACGTGTTCATGAAATTATTACCAGTTCGCGAAAATGCATTATGAATAAAAGTAAGCTGCATAAATTAATGTAATTTTATATAATTTCAAATTAAGAATACTAGTGAGCGAGTAAGGGTTTACGCCACTTTTAGCAATATTCCAGTAATATCACCAGAAATAGGCTTCACATGATGGGAATCGAACCCGGGTCTTAAGCGTGACGAGCGGACGCTTTAACTATTAGGCTACCGCCCCGCCCCTGAAGAATACTAAACGTGCGTGAATGCAGGTAATAATGTGAATTACTGTAAGTTTGTAACGATCAGTTTGTCTTCCTATTAGATAATGGTAGCCCTCGGTTGTTCGGAGGTAACACAGAGCCCCTCCCTAGCGCCCGGGAGGTCAGCGTGGAGTGTTTCAACCTCGACAGTACGAGTACGCAGGACAGGATGTTCAGTCAGATGATGATGCAGTGGGGTCAGTTCCTGGACCACGACCTCACGGCGACGCCGAAGACTGACGGTGAGAACAGAGAACATTCCGAGTGAGTGTGAGAGTGTGTGGCTTTACGCTGCTTTTAGCAATATTCCAGCAATACCACGAGATTCCAGTAATGGGCTTCACACATTGTACCCATGTGGGGAATCGAACCCAGGGTCTTTGCCGCTTTAATGCTCTTTGGAGTTGTGTCCCTTTGGCGTGCCAGGATCAGAGTAGTGGGGCTTTGATACTGAGATTGTTGTTCACCATTTGTCAGCACTATACTAGCTGTTACATTAAAAACCTAAAACGTATTTATCCTACTCCCAGGGTGCCGTTGTACAAAGCAACTTTAGCTCCACGACAGTCGTAAGTCTATGCTATGCTATTCCAGAGATATTTGTTGTGAAGAAGAACGTTCTGTTGTAGACATGCCTACCTGGCGTATTTTGCCGTATATATTACGATTTTGTATCATCAAGCACGATTGTACACATTACAGTTTGTACCCTGACAGGGATATAATGTAAAAAAATATCATGTACGATCAGAAGTGTATGAACAAACATACAAATATACATCTACCCCAGGAATAACCCAATCCTGCGCCCCGTTTCACAAAGCTCTCATAAGATCAAAATCTCGTAACTTTTCTCGTAGCATGTGTACTTACTATACTGTAACAATGACTTACGATAGTTGTAGCGCTACGAGAGCTTTGTGAAACGGGGCCCAGGTTATTCCAAAGTATGTACATTGTTCATACTATCACTCAGATATTAGTATTGCACATTCGGGTAAAGTACATCACTAAGCATCTGAAAACCAAGGGACATCTAACCAATGTTGTGTTCCCACCGGTGGCACCAGCGATATGGACAAGTCAATGGCCGTTGTTAAAGCAGAAATCCAAATGACACAAGACGAGCAGCAGCCAGACCAGCTAAAACTCCAACCACAAAGGGCCAGGAGAGCTGCAGTCAGGCACTCCTGAGTGCGGCCATGGCTCATAGAGAGAGGGGATAACAGTTTGGTCAGTTCTCCAGACGCCTAGACACCAATTTGAAGTTAGAGGATCCAGTAGCGTTCCAAAACTACACAAGGTTAACACCACAGCTCTTCGATGAAGTCTTGCATAGGGTGGCCCGAGCAATCGATCAGGAAGTCACCAGTTTCAGGCAACCTCTTTCACCTGGACTGAAACTGGCAGTCACAGCTAGGCACCTTGAGGCTGGAGACAACTATGGGTCTCTTGCGTATGCCTTCAGGTGTGGAGTGTCCACCATCTCAGAGATGGCTCCAGAAGTGTTCCACACAGGCAATTGTGTTTAGCCTACCTGTGACCCCTGAAGCCTGGACAGCCGTAGCTAACCAGTTTGAACATAGATGGATATATCCCACGCCATTGGGGCCCTGGATGGCAAACACATTGCTGTCAAGAAGCCACCTCAAACTGGCAGTCAGTTACAAGGGCGTCGTTTCGATACCGCTCCTAGCTCTGATGGATGCAGATTACAAGTTTGTGTGGATCGAGCTTGTTAGGAAAGGACACATGTCAGATGCTACGATATGTGGCGACTCGGGGCTGGTCAACGGCATGGACTTCCCCCACCCTACCCTCTGACTGCAAGCCCTGATGAACCTAAGACATACCCTTCTTCACCTTTCGCTCTCAGGAATTGCCTAATGAAGCCATGCAGCAGAAGAAGGATGTCCAGGAAGGAGAGGACTCGCAAGAGGGAGGAGAATGGTGGAAAATGCCCTTGGGATCCTGGCCAATAGATTCAGGTGTCTCCTCATAGTGGAGGGGACAGTGGTTCTGCACAACCGATTGAGGCTGAGGCATCCAGACATTGCAGCACAATAGGCGGACCACGAGGATGAAAACAACATGTCATCCAAGGGGCATGGAGGACTAAGTGGACTGGCTAGATGTGGATCAACCTCCTGCACCTCGCAAATCAGCCAGAGCAAATGCGAAGGATCAGAGGGAACTCCTGAAGGCGCAGTAATTCTGATTTCCAGTACATATATGGGCGCAAGAACTCGTAACAGATCGTGAGCGTCCGTGAAAAAGCGTCAATAGTCGTATCTACTCGTAGTTACTCGTATCAACTCGTATCTGCTCGTGAATCATTCGTGTCAGGTTGTTAGCAATGGGACCCGACAGACCGTCACAGATCGTGGGAGATCACTACACATCTCAACATAGCGCAGTGTTTGTCTTGTCCACGATTGATTCCGACCACTACGATTTCTAAGCACGATTAGATGTGATATGTTCGCTTTGTTATGATGCAATACTATCTGATGCGATGATCACGATTGACGATTAACTGTGTTGATCGTAGAAATTGTTTTAACCCTTCAGAATATTTCTACGATCAATACGATTGCCACGACTGACCTCAAGATCTGATAAGATTGATAGGATCACCGCGATTAGTCCACAATTAAGACCACGGTTTCAATCATGGCGCGAATCGTGATAGTGTGAACATAGCATTTAGGGCATCCATCACAACAACTACCGTTTCCAAGGGTATCAACAAGTGTGGAATTTCGACAGTTCATGCTCTAAAATCCAGTTACTTGAATTGAATTTGACAGTTACTTCAACGTAAACATTCAACGCAATTCAGAAAAAAAGGCGTGTCTGCTGATGAGGTTGTCATATTTCGTGTTGAAACGATCATTTTCCGCGATCTTGTTTCGACACTCAGGAGGGTGCCCTCGCTTAACGCGCAATTGCAATAAATAGAGAGAGTGTCAGCTATTATAAAAGATCTGTACAGTTTAGACCCGTCTGCCAAATGGCAAAACCCGATATACTTGAAAAAATATTGAAAATGCGAGGGAAAACTTACCATTACTCTTGCGCCACATGTTCTTCTTTCACTGTCCAGCGAGGAAATGGAGTTGCTTTAGGGGCAACTCCACATTTCGCACTGACAGCGCTTCCACCCTGTGAAATATACCCCGTGATACTGCTACAACTTGTATGCTGACTTCTAACAGGAATTCGAATATTACAAATGTTTGAAATTACATGAATTAAGGCATCGATCAAGGCGAAGTGGTGTGTATTCGATTCTCAGATCCTCATTTTCGCATGTTGTGTTCTGATGCCACCGAACGTAAAGCGGGTTTACGTCATTTCCCATTATTCTTATAAAATAAGTGACCTTACCAAATGGCGCAATCTAACGACGTCTTTTTGACATGATCACAAAACACTGCTGATCTGGTTATGAATAAAGATTATTTGTGTGATTACTGTAAGAACTTATGTTGTTTTCTTTACATGTTTTCAAAAGCAAACATACTAATTCACCGCTGTATCACGGAATTTAATGATTATGCCACCTGCCCATTACAGAGAAATGGATGCCACACTGGACCCAATCACTCACACAGTCAAATTTACAAAGTTGATCAAATGGACCCTGTTATACTCATACTGGACCTCTTCTGGAATTCACCAAAGAGTTCTCCAGAATGTGTCTCTATTTCCTTAAAAACATTGAAAGGAGTAATATAGCTTTAATATCAACGCAATAATATTATAACTAGTGTATTTGCATAGGACAGCCTTTGCATCGTCGCTTAAAGACATGAATAGATAATAGTAGCAGCGCGTATTATTCGAATCTGTAATTCTACTTCCAGCCAAAAGCTGTTGCAGCGGAATGGCATTGAACGGTGTTCACAGCGACTCTCTCTCTGAGTAAGTAGTGATTGGTTGGTTGGTAGGTTGGTTGGTTGTTTAAAACCGCACTCAGCAATATTCCAGCTATATGTCGTCGGTCTGCAAATAATCAAGTCTGGACCAGACACTCCAGTGATCAACAGCATGAGCATCAATATACGCAGTTGGGATACGATGACATGTGTCAACCAAGTCAGCGAGCCTGACCTCCCGATCCTGTTAGTCGCCTCTTACAAGCATAGGTTGCTGACGACCGATTCTAAACCGGATCATCACTGGTCATGTAGGTGTTGAGAACTCTACTGTTGTTTAACATAGAAGTATCACAGTCGAGCGTTACGTTCTCTAGCAGAAGTGGCTAAAAGTTCACTAAAATAGAGAACAGATATAATATGCTGATCATACATTTTATATCTTTCCTTAATTTCTTTAATACTTATTAAAAGCAGGAACATGCGCTCTTTGGGTTATGTGGACGAAGAAGCTCAATTACGTGTTTCAATTTAAGACACAACACAATAAAACCAGTATCAATTGGTAAATCTTTAGCTGAAGGAAATCATGGACATTTATTTTCAATTATAGCTCGCAATGATAAGGCAGTCCAAGCTGCGGACCCGTGAAGATCCGGGGTAGAATAGGTCTTCAGCAACCCATGTGCTTGCCATAAAAGGCGACTATCTTGTCGTAAGAGGCGACTAACGGGATCGGGTGGTCAGTTTCGCTGACTTGGTTGACACATGTCATCGGTTCCCAAATGCGCAGTTCGATGCTCATGCTGTTGATCACTGGATTGTCTGGTCCAGACTCGATTATTTACAGACCGCCGCCATATAGCTGGAATATTGCTGAGTGCGGCGTAAAACTAAACTCACTCACTCACCAAGCTGCGAGTCCTGGTCCCGCCAGGATCTGCTGGTCTTCATTCTTTAATGCCTTGTTTAATCAGAATCATGTAGTCAAAATCTCCACATTGCTTTATTTAGTGCTTGCCTCCCATACTGATCTGGCATGTTGTTGAACAGAGATAACCGACGGAATGTTCTCTGCGTAAAGACGGCCTCACAATTCCAGTCCTTGTACGAGTCGTAGTTGTATGTTCTGCAACAACGTTCATGATTTCAGTGGCCCCTGTTTCCCCATCCTTATACCAGCAGGAGACAGACAGTTCAAGAACTGCATGGAGTTCAGCCGGTCGATGCCTCTGGAGACCACGTCAGGTAGGTGAACACTGTCACCTTATATATGAATGTTGATATGATCACTCGTGGAGATCCGGGTTTAGAATTGGTCTTCAGCAACGGGATCGGGTTGTCACGTTTGCTGACTTGGTTGACACATGTCATCATGCCCCAAATGCGAAGATTGATAATGATCACTGGAATGTCAACAGACCCGGTCTCTGTGGTAACTTGTGTTGCATTGCTCTTCACCCATGTGTGGAAATGGTAGAAAGAAGAGTCGAGATGTCCGACGAAAATGTCAGACGAAGGAAGTATATTAACACGTACGCACAAAAGATTAGCAAATAAGTGATGGTGCTCAGATTGACATAATATATGCTGCCCAAGCTACATAGTTCATAGATCGATTCCTCCCTACAAAGATGCACATACATATCAACGTTATTAATGCATATTAATTGCAGGGTGAAAGAACGCATACACTTGAAAACTGGAATTTAATAAACAATTATAAGCGTAACCAAAACGGGAAAACACTTATTGGAACATCATAAACTCAGGGCCGGATCCAGGAATGTGTATTTATTTATTTTTTTTTCATTTATATTTATTTTTTTATTTATTTTTTTTTTTTGGGGGGGGAGTCCTTCTGGATCCGCCCCTTATACTTAATGACCACAATACCACTGTGACAGCCGTATGAAATACATAACAATCAAATAAATAACAATTTGTTGTTTGTTTCATTTTAGTCATGATTTAGTGTGGTGTATGTTTTGTTCTGTCTGACGATTTATGTTAAAAAAAATGCACAAACTTTACAGACCTGTTGATATGATTATCAATATTTTAATAATATTCCAAAGATCGATTGCGTATCGATTTCATTCAATAGTCTTACAACTTCATTTGCCATTGACAGTATTGCTGTGACTCTTTTACTGAAAAAATACATGTTAAAAATTGTGTCTGCTAACAGAGAGCTGTCACCGAGAACAGCTGAACTCCCTCACCGCCTACATCGACGGCAGCAACGTCTACGGGGGTTCCAAAGAAGAGGCGCTCAAACTCCGAACCCTCAAATTAGGTGCGTAAATATATGCTGTAATTTACGTAACAATAAAGCATTATTATCGTAAAGTCTACAAACGCGGTTCGGGTAAATATATACTGCACACGGTATATGCTTGATAAATATAACGCTGGAACGTCAGTCGTCGCAGGGTAATACAGAGGATAGAAACCACTATATCCACAAGCTCCTACATGACCAAAACTGGTGATTCGTGTCATTTCACTCATTTAATAGTTCCATAATTCTGCGGTAGGATAGCCTAGTGGTAAAAGCGTTCGTTCGTCATACCGAAGAACCGGGTTCGATTCCCAGCATGGGTACAATATGTGAAGCCCATTCCTGATGTCCCCGCCGTGATATTGCTGGAATATTGCTAAAAGCGGCTTAAAACTAAATTCACTCACTCACATTAATGATTCTGTCTCCAGGACAACTGGCGTCTACGAAGAATGGCCAGCGCCTCCCTATTACAAACGCAACCACCTGTTTGAAGGGTCCTGGACATTCCTGCTTTGATGCTGGTAAACTGTGGTCATTACAGGTGGTATTACAATCTGGTATTACGGGTACCGTTCCTCGCAAGTATCGAAACAGGATTGGTTATGGCCATTACAGGTGGTATTACAATCTGGTATTACGGGTACCGTTCCCCGCCGGTATCGAAACAGGATTGGTTATGGTCATTACATGTTGTATTACAATCTGGTATTACGGGTACCGTTCCCCACCAGTATCGGAACAGGGTTGGTTATGGTCATTACAGGTTGTATTACAATCTGGCATTACGGGTACCGTTCCCCGCCAGTATCGAAACAGGATTGGTTATGGTCATTACAGGTGATATTACAATCTGGCATTATGGGTACCGTTCCCCACCAGTATCGGAACAGGATTGGTTATGGTCATTACAGGTTGTATTACAATCTGGTATTACGGGTACCGTTCCCCGCCAGTATCGAAACAGGATTGGTTATGGTCATTACAGGTTGTATTACAATCTGGTATTATGGGTACCGTTCCCCACCAGTATCGGAACAGGATTGGTTATGGTCATTACAGGTTGTATTACAATCTGGTATTACGGGTACCGTTCTCCGCCAGTATCGGTACAGGATTGGTTATGGTCATTACAGGTTGTATTACAATCTGGTATTACGGGTACCGTTCCCCACCAGTATCGGAACAGGATTGGTTATGGTCATTACAGGTTCTATTACAATCTGGTATTACGGGTACCGTTCCCCGCCAGTATCGAAACAGGATTGGTTATGGTCATTACAGGTTGTATTACAATCTGGTATTACGGGTACCGTTCGCCACCAGTATCGGAACAGGATTGGTTATGGTCATTACAGGTTGTATTACAATCTGGTATTACGGGTACCGTTCGCCACCAGTATCGGAACAGGATTGGTTATGGTCATTACAGGTTGTATTACAATCTGGTATTACGGGTACCGTTCGCCACCAGTATCGGAACAGGATTGGTTATGGTCATTACAGGTGGTATTACAATCTGGTATTATGGGTACCGTTCCCCACCAGTATCGGAACAGGATTGGTTATGGTCATTACAGGTGGTATTACAATCTGGTATTACGGGTACCGTTCCCCACCAGTATCGGAACAGGATTGGTTATGGTCATTACAGGTGATATTACAATCTGGTATTACGGGTACCGTTCCCCGCCAGTATCGAAACAGGATTGGTTATGGTCATTACAGGTTGTATTACAATCTGGTATTACGGGTACCGTTCGCCACCAGTATCGGAACAGGATTGGTTATGGTCATTACAGGTTGTATTACAATCTGGTATTACGGGTACCGTTCTCCGCCAGTATCGGTACAGGATTGGTTATGGTCATTACAGGTTCTATTACAATCTGGTATTACGGGTACCGTTCCCCACCAGTATCGGAACAGGATTGGTTATGGTCATTACAGGTTGTATTACAATCTGGTATTACGGGTACCGTTCCCCACCAGTATCGGAACAGGATTGGTTATGGTCATTACAGGTTCTATTACAATCTGGTATTACGGGTACCGTTCCCCGCCAGTATCGAAACAAGATTGGTTATGGTCATTACAGGTGATATTACAATCTGGTATTACGGGTACCGTTCCCCGCCAGTATCGGAACAGGATTGGTTATGGTCATTACAGGTGATATTACAATCTGGTATTGCGGGTACCATTCCCCACCAGTATCGGATGGTCATTACAGGTTGTATTGCAATCTGGTATTGCGGGTACCGTTCCCCGCCAGTATCGAAACAAGATTGGTTATGGTCATTACAGGTTGTATTGCAATCTGGTATTGCGGGTACCGTGGGGGTGAAGTCTTCGAGGTAAGCATGTGTTCTGATTATCTGACACTGTGTAATGTTTCTTTGAATGTATTGCCCTTGATATATCCTACTTCTTGAGTAATCATTGATCAAATGTAGTTTTAACCTCCGGTCAGTTATAGAAGGGGATTCAGATACTAGGTGTTTAAGATGTAGGTGAACTTCACCGAGATATGGTCATCACACCACATACATTACGCCGAAGACCCGCATTCGATCACTATATTGGTACAATGCGTGAAGCCCATTTCTGGTGTCCACCGCCGAGATATTGCTGGAATATGGCTAAAAGCAGTGTCAACAGCCTAGTTACATAAAGCTCAACTCACTCACTCACACATATTTCTACGAGTGAGTGAGTGAGTTTAGTTTTACGCCGCTGTTAGCAATATTTAGCAATACCACGGCGGGGGACACCAGAAATAGGCTTCACACATTGTACCGATGTGGGGAATCGAACCCGGTCCTTCGGCGTGACGAGCGAACCATATCTCTACGAAAGAAGCGAAACGTATCATTCTGGAATTACACGATTCAGGTGATGTTCGAGTGAACGAGTTCCCTGGCCTGACTTCCATGCACACAGTCTGGATGCGAGAACACAATCGAATTGCGAAGAGGCTGTCCACTGTGAACCGTAAATGGAACGACGAGACACTGTTTCAGGAAGCACGTCAAATCGTCATTGCTAGTATGCAGCACATCACCTACAAAGCCTGGCTCCCACATGTTCTCGGCGAAATGTACAAACTCTTTGACCTGTCCGGCAAGTACCAGTACAACGCCTCTGTAAACCCCGGCATCTTCAACAGTTTTGCGGCAGCGGCGTTCAGGTTTGGTCACTCTCAGCTTGCTAGAGAATACGCTGTAAAGGGCAAAAGAAAAGTGGAGATACGAAAGATGTTCTTTGACACCTCGTTTGTGACCAATGGCTACGATGACGTTCTCGATGGACTAATGACTTGGAGCAGTCAGGCAACCGACAAAGCGTTTACTCAAGGTGAGTGATAGACTCGGTCTCCATGCCGCTTAGAACGGTATTTCGGTTATATCAGTCAACGTGTTTTAGCTTAATGCGGATGGACATCACGCAACAATGCAAAGCACGATTTCACAAAGCAATCTTAACGTTACGATGATCGTAACTCCCATTCACTAACACAGACTTAAGGATATCAATCAACGTGTTTTAGCATAATGTGGGTCAACATCACACAACGATGCAGGGTCCGATTTTTTACAAAGCGATCTTAGCGTAACTTACGATCTTGATCGTAACTCCCATTCACTAACACATGCTTAAGATAGACGTAATTCTAAGAACGCTTTGTGCAAGTGGGCGTAAACGAATCCCTCTGTGGTTAAACACACGAGAACGAGTATGACTCTGACTTGTTCGATTCCCTGATTGAGCACAAGGTCTGTCTGTATGTACGTGCGTGCGTGCGTACGTATGTTGTACGTTATATTACAGGCATCGTCGATCACCTGTTTGAAAACACGGTTGAGTCGGGTATAGGTTTCGATCTTGTATCGTTGAACATTCAAAGAGGACGAGACCACGGATTGCCCCCATACTTGGACTTCGTTAACCACATATCAAAGGTCCCTGCTGTGAAGAAACTATTTAGTGATGATCTCACGGTACCAAAATGTGCCTTGGATCTGTATAGGTAAGTACATACTTACCATGTCAAAGTGGGTTGAGCGCAACTCAACTTTGAGCCGTTGTATGCCAATAATATGACTATGTTTATTAGAAACAGAATTCCACAAACAAAACGTTGATTACTGGGAAACAAGGATAAGTTGGCCCGGCGCAGAGAACGCGTTAACGAGAAGTAGGCGGTGCACGACAATGAGCAAACCCATTTGGTTTGTGAAAGGTAGAGCAGATGTAGGCTAGTGCACGTGCATTACATGACGATGAAATTGATTCCGTGCGTAGCACACGCCTTGCTCGTAAGACTCACGCCAGTGTAGCAAGTCACACTACACTTGATCGCGGACAACCTGGGGCCCCTTCGCTAACAATGGCAAGCGCCAGTTGACGGCACTCATACATGGTAATACGGGTCAGTTGTCAGGTCGGTGCTTAACTTATCCTTGTTTGCCAGTATTAGTATAGTTGTCAGCTTAATGTTGGGGATGCAGGTACCAGGTGTTTATGATCTGGGTGACCTTCACCGAGGTATGGTACATCACACTGATGTGCAGCGGGGTAGCCTAGTTGTCACACAGAAGACCCCGGTTCGATTCCCCAGATGGGTGCAATAGGTAAAGGCCCGTCGCAAATTGGTGGAATATTGCTAAAAGCGGCGTAAAACCTCACTCACTCACATCAGATTGATAGTCCACCTGTTACAGTCCATGATCGTATAATATACTTCTTATCAGTTTCTTGACTGTTGCCGTTTCCCAGTTCCAATGAGTACGGTCAGATAACATTTAGGGTCAAACAATTATAATAATAATGCTTTGGACAACACGTGGTACTGCAGTAGGATGTTATACGTGTTATGCGTGAGTAGTAAAAAACACGGATGTGTCATCATATCAGACCAGGAGTACATATGGTAGACGCGCATAGAACATTCTTTTCTAAAATAGGTTCCTGTCATGAAACATTTTGACTTTTTGGACATGACGCAAAGCAACATAAGCAGAATTTATTTATTTATTTATTTATTTATTTATTAATTAATTAAAGCTAAAGCAATGCGGTATTTTACTGGTTTTGATGATTCCAGGAAAAGACAACGGACAGCCTCTTTCGCGTGTAATGAAAAGACGTTTCTAGTTCAAACGTCATCCTGAAACAAGTGTCTAGCTGTGAATAGCGATTACGTTTTACCTCAAAGTTCTTCCTCACTTAAACAGTTGTAAAAAATCTGCCACTTCGTATCAAGTTTCCTTTCCATGTTTTGATTGTAGTTGCGTGAACGATGTGGATTTGTTCGTGGGCGGTTTGAGGGAGAAGCCGGTAAAGCGAGGACTGTTGGGACCAACATTTGGCTTTATACTGGCTAAACAGTTTGAAAACTTACGCTTGGGGGATCGATTCTGGTATGAGAGAGCTGACAAAGAACGGATCTTCACTGCAGGTAGGAGTTTAGTTTGCCAGTAATGTACAGAACATCGATAGTGGACTCTGCTAATATGTTCCAACAATTGATATTGAAAGCGTCTCTGTTGGGGAAAGTAGTCTTCCTTGAATGTTTTATAACATTAGGTTTTGTTTGTTTCCCTAAAATACGCAACGTCCTCAAAGACCGGCATCAAGGGCTTTCCTGCAATATGAAGATGACCCATAGAGTAGAACGTGAAAACTGTTCAAGGCCGACATTTTTATTGTTGTTCTGCCCGGCGGTACGGCTAAGCTCTTGTAGGGGACATCTCACTAGTTGTATCTGACTGGAGGCTGAATACAACCTATAAAGGGATGATGACCCGTTTCCTAAACACGTAGCCGTGAAGATCCGGGTTAGAATTGGTCTTCAGCAACCTACGCTTGTCGTAAGAGGCGACTAACGGGATCGAGTGGTCAGGCTCGCTGACGTGGTTGACACGTGTTATCGTAACCCAATTGCGTAGATCGATGTTCGTGCTGTTGATCACTGGATTGTCTGGACCAGTCTTGATTATTTACAGATCACCGCAATATAGCTGGAATATTGCTGAGTGCGGCGTAAAACAAGAAACCAACCAAGCTAAGAACGACAGTGGTCTGGCTCACCACTGACTGTGAAACCTGCGAGATTTGTTCTTTTGCAATCTGTTGAGGACTATCAGTAAATGGTCTGGTTTTTGCACAGGTTTGAACTGAAAGTGGAATTTAATTTAATCCAACTGATTCACTAACTGTAGTGTGCTGGTTTGTGGTTCTGTGGAAAGAGCACAGGTCACAAATCACTTGAACAACAAAGGTGACTTTGTTCAAAATTGGATCTGATCACCCAGCAGTGAATGGGTACCCGGTGGGATGAGATGGTCATAGGACTGTTAAGTACCTGACGCCTCACAGGCAGACTTGGCCATAGACTGGAGTAATAATGCAACACTGTATGATATGTGGAAGTTAGCCCAATATAAATACACACTGACATTCATCTTCTTATTCTTATTGTTATTATCATTTTAGCGCAGTTAACTGAGATACGGAGGACGTCGTTAGCACGTGTCATCTGCGACAACAGCAACGTCAAAGTCCTTCCACGTGATGTCTTTAAGCGGTGAGAGAACAATGTCCAATATAAGGGATGTAGGTATAGGTGCTGGGTTGCCCGAGAGCGTAATTCTTCCAGAATTTATATGACATTATTTCTCTGTAATTGTTGGTATTTTTTTAATTATCTAAGCAATAACAGTCATATTGCAGACACGTGTATGTTTCTGAGACGCTTTAGTACAATGACATGGGCATGATGAGGGGAAGAAACCTTTTTAAAAATGTCCCACTTTTTTTTAGGCCACAGGACCAGTGGGTGGACCATAATTAGTGGTCATGTCTGTACTTCACTGGTCCAAAATAATAGATTTACTTTTAAAATTCACTGGCCACCAGGACTTTAGTGGTCCTGGTGAATTTTTACTAGCCAGGCACCACAGGACCAGCGTAAATTTCGCACACTGATGATCATTGTTTATATTTTTTGCAGGGCCTCCCGAACGCAGTGTCGTCATCTGCCAGGGATTAACCTGTCAAAATGGAGAAAGTAATTCTCCTAAAATGGACATCGAAAAACATTGCGAGACAACCGTACCTTTTAACGAAGCTGACCTCGTAACGCTCGTTCTTTGTAAAACTTTCCGCCTTCCTTTGTTCTACAACGATATCGATTATGACACTATGAAACCGTCAGAAACTGTCTTCTTTCTGTACACATGACCTTTTCTGATTAAAACAATTCGTCGCAGTTGCACTTTGACTTGGAGTGTTTCATCTTACCAAATGAATATACGAATTGTGTTTTGCTACCAGTTTTGTGCGCAAAGAAAAAACCTGAGTTGATGATAGTAAAATTATTCCTTTCTGAAGATGTATATGTATTTGTAAAATGTTGATACACTTGAACCAGGAAACCTGAACGTCGATGCAGGCTTTGAGATAAAGTAGAGTGTATAGTTATGTTATGTGCTCGACATAGCAGCCATGTTGCAAATTGCTGGCTTGATTCACTTTCCTATCGAAAATATGTTTATATACACCGTCACAACGTATTTCACAGTATATTTAAGAATTGACTACGTCGTCAATATCTTTGTCGTTATGGAGGTATAAAGGTAAAAAATGTGTGTTACGCGGATTTGTATAAAGTGAGTGAGTATGGTTTTACGCCGCTTTTAGCAATATTCCAGCAATATCACGTTGGGGGACACCGGAATTGGGCTTCACAAATTGTACCCATGTGATGAATCGAACCCAGGCCTTCGGCGTGGCGAGACAACGCTTTGACCACTAGGCTATCCAACCACCCCTTCACAAACCACCCCTTCACAAAGTAAGCGCTTCAACATGTTTTCGTGTATCAGTTCCTAAACGCAAGTGCATGTTATCATCAATTCAGAAGAGGGTGAGCGAGTTGAGTTTAACCCTTCTTCGTGGAGTTTTTCAGTATTTTACGTCACGTCTGTAAATTGTGGGCGATGTCAAAGTGACATCGGCTTTTATAACAACAGGTTCCAGTCGTGAAGAACGCTGAAATAATGTACGGTGTTAAATAACATTCACTCACACACCTCGTTGCGAACCGCCGATGCTTTTTCTGGAAGTAATGGGGCGGTGGGGTAGCCTAGTGGTTAAAGCGTTCGCTCGTCACGCAGAAAGACGACCCGGATTCGATTCCCATAATGGGTGCAATATGTGAAGCCCATTTCTGGTATCCCCCGCCGTGATATTGCTGGAATATTGCAAAAAGCGGCGTAAAACTAAACTCACTCAGTGTTTCATGGGATAATCAAGTCTGGTCATTCTCTGGCGTTTCCGTTTTATATTCATCAGTGTTTGTTCTTACCTGTTGTTGGGTGAGCTGGTACAATGTGTGAAGCCCATGTCTGGGCTGGAATATGGCTAAAAGCGGCGTAAAACCATACTCACTCACTCTGGCAGTAATGATGTTTTATTACATTCGTGTATACGGGCCCTTACACATCAAACGATGATACAAACTCTTGTCCAAGGTCGCTTTATCACTTGGAGATACCCGTGAAGGTCCGGGTGAGAATATTGGTCTTCAGTAACCCATGCTTGTCTAAGAGGCGACTAACGGGATCGGGTGGTCAGGCTCGCTGACTTGGTTGACACATGTCATCGGTTCCCAATTGCGCAGATCGATGCTCATGCTGTTGATCACTTGATTGTCTGGTCCAGACTCCAACTCTAAACTCACTCACTATCACTGGGAGTTCTAGGATGGTACTCAAAATAAGTAAAATGTAATTTTGTATTGCATGAATTAGGTGTCTTTTGACCTCTTTTGAGTTCTGGTACTGTACTACATAAGGACCGTACAAACGACCTTACAAATGAATGCTGCCTTGAACCATTACGGCTCTTACAATGCCCGTGATGACGGCAGAGCATACGCATGGTAAAAATCAACAACACGGAAACAATACTGCATAGCATAATATATTTTACTCATTTGATGAACACAAGTAGTAGTTGATATTTTAGAGGTCACTCTTTCCATTTCGTGAGGTCGATGGCTGGCAGTTCTCGGCATGAAACCGGGCGGTTGCTGGAAGAACATGGCGTGGTCATTGTAACTGTTCCTCGTTTGTTGTGAACATAACAACCTCGGGTCTCCATACATTCGTTTGTCAACAGCGCTGTGGTTAAAGCGTTCGCTCGTCACGTCGAAGACTCGGGTTCGAATCCCCACATAGGTACAATGTGTGAAGCTAATTTCTGGTGTCCCCCGCCGTGATATTGCTGAACAATTGCTAAAAGCGGCGTAAAACTAAACTCAGTCAGTCAGTCGTTTGTCAACAGCGCTGTGGTTAAAGCGTTCGCTCGTCACGTCGAAGACCCGGGTTCGAATCCCCACATCGGTACAATGTGTGAAGCTAATTTCTGGTGTCCCCCGCCGTGATATTGCTGAAATATTGCTAAAAGCGGCGTAAAACCAAACTTAGTCAGTCAGTCGTTTGTGAACAGCGCTGTGGTTAAAGCGTTCGCTCTTCTCGTCGAAGACCCGGGTTCGATTCCCCACATCGGTACAATGTGTGAAGCTAATTTCTGGTGTCCCCCGCCGTGATATTGCTGAAATATTGCTAAAAGCGGCGTAAAACCAAACTCAGTCAGTCAGTCGTTTGTCAACAGCGCTGTGGTTAAAGCGTTCGCTCGTCACGTCGAAGACCCGGGTTCGATTCCCCATATGGGTACAATGTGTGAACCCCATTCTTGATAATCCCCAAAGCGGCGAAAAATCATAATTACTCACTCACTAAACATAGCCGCGTACAACTATTTTTAGATAATTCATGAAAACAGGCATTTTGTCTGTTGTTTACGTCGCCGTAAGCAATGATCTAGCTATATTACCGCGGCCTGTTACTAACCCAGTGGTTGAAATAATGGTCACTTCCAACCTGGATTTTCACGGGTCACCCATGATAGTCACTTCTGGAGCAGGGAAGACATTCTACCCCGGGTCTTCATGGTGAATGAGCATGTACACCACCACCCCACCCCCCCACCCCCACCCCCAAAAATAATAAAAATAAAATTAAAATAAACATTGTAGCGGTTACAGTATGACGTCATTACATATATATTGTGTCGTCACAATAGGGGCAACATATATATATATATATTTAAAAATTTTAAAAATACAAATAAATAAATATTTAAATTAAATAAAAATAAACAAACATTAACACAAACAGACAACAACAAAAAAAGAAACAAAGACTAACCTCCATTATAGTCGATTCTCAGGACAAACAAAATGTGCTTGGAAGGTACTCAGTGCTTAAAGGTTAGTTAAAGAACGTGCATTCATACTTACCCTCTTCCTGGAAGTTTAAAGACGTCTTTTTGAATTCTTTTCATCCGACTGTTCTCACACATCACCTGTGCTAAGGTCACTTTCCGAATCTCAGCTAGCTGGTCTGAAACGGAGGGTGAGTGAGTGGTTATTCGATAGTCCAGTAACACTACGGTGGAAACCCGGAAACTGGGCTTCACATAATTTACCTCTGTTGAAGGTCGAGCCCTTTAACCAGTACGGTACCCTGTAGCTAGTAAAATGACAGGTTTTTTTCAAATTCTACATTAATCAGCCAATAAATTTGAAGAATGAAGAGGACCCGTGGTACATGCTTACTGTTTTTGGTAGTTTGTACTTAAATAAACATACCAATGTTGTGCATATATTACATGGAGAAGTAATATAAATGAAGATACTTTAGTTTGTCTTTTATGATTTACACCGTTTTTCGCAATAATCCAATATTATAATTCTCAGAGGGACATTACGAATGTACACCAGACTGAGAGCGTGAGTATGGTTTTACGCCGCTTTTTTAGCCATGTGGGGAATCGAACCCGGGCCTTCGGCGTGACGAGCGAATGCATTAACCACTAGGCTACCCCACCGCCCTTTGGACACCAGACATGTGGGCAGTCGAACCCTTTAATCCACCGTTTAACATGACAACAGCTTCAAGCACCTCGATACCCAGCTTCATGTGCTCTGACGTGAATTCCAGTGGGGTGGCCTAGTGGGTAAAGCGTTCCTTCGTCACCATGAAGACCCGGATTCGATTGAAGCCCAATTCTGGTGTCCCTGGACGGAATATTGGTCACAGTGGCGTAAAACTAAACTCACTCACTCAAGTTAGTGAAGTGTGCTTTCTATCCATGGTATAGAACTACAGGCGATTCCCGTCTAGCTTTATCTACTGGGGGACACTAGGACCTGCTACAGAAACACACTGGGTGGTGCGGACGTGCAGAAACTTCACTGCTTCTTACCATCAGTAAATCCAAGGGTGCTGTTTTTTGTCTGGTACCAGAATCGATCTCCTACCCGCAAGTTGTAAAACTGTTTCGCCAATATATAACCAAATGTTGGTCCAACCATGGCCTCTTTCAGATGGGCTTCGTCCATTCCACCCAGAAATAGGTCAACATCATCCACACTACTGCAATAAACAAAATACGATTCAAGTTAAATCACGAACAAATACTTTCTAATTCTACTATCGATAATACTGTTATGATAATATCATAACAGGACGCTTTTCATAACCGACCTCACGTGGTGAGTTGCTTTTAGCAATGTTCCAGCACAATCACGGCGGGGGACACCAGAAATGGGCTTCATATATCGTACCCATGTGGGGGATAGAACCCGGGTCTTTAGCGTGACGAGCGAACGCTTTAACCGCTAGGCCATCCCACTGCCCCGACTCATACAATCATAGTGAGTGAGTGAGTTTAGTTTTACGCCGCACTCAGCAATATTCCAGCTCTATGGCGGCGGTCTCTAAATAATCGAGTCTGGACCAGACAATCCAGTGATCAACAGCATCAGCATCGATCTGTGCAATTGGGAACCGATGACATGTGTCAACCAAGTCAGCGAGCCTGACAACCCGATACCGTTAGTCGCCTCTTACGACAAGCATGGGTTACTGAAGATCAATAGTCCAACCCGGACCTTCACGGGTTCATATAATCATAAATACCTAATCAATTACAGTAAACTACGTTTATGTTTATGATACGAACACGCTTATTAACGGGTAAATGGTCCCTGACACTTACGGCATATCATAGTCGAAATGCGTTTTACGAAGTACGGTTATTTCGAAGCCCATTTCTGGTGTCCCTCGTCGTGATATTGCTGGAATAATGCTAAAAGCGGCGTAAAACTTAACTAAACTTCAGTCACTCACGATTTATTAAGACTTACTCGTAAAGGCCAAGTGCACAGAGAGGCGTCCCAGGCTTCTCGATGATGGAGGTGTGTTCGTTGATTTCCTTTGACCACTTGATGAGAAAGTCCATGTATGGCGGAAGTCCGTGGTCTCGACCTCTCTGGATATTCAACGCTACAAGGTCAAGGCTCTTCCCTTGAGTCTTCGTGTTTTCAAACAAGTTATCAGTTACACCTGTGGAGAGAAACATTTTATGTGAGTCATTACATGGCGGCCACATCGTGTCGTGTCTTCGTTACAAAAGCAAACATGTCCAATGATAATATAAATAATTAATACAATTTACCCATGTTTCATGAACAGAGGCGTGTTTAAATCATCACAAACAATTCTTTCTCAATTGATTCTGTTTTACACATACACTCTGTTTTGACTTCTGTGCAATAACATCCTTCACAGTTAATAATGAACACGGTATCGCTACATAAATGAGCTTTCAGGCCATGCGCAGTTACCTCCCCTACCGAGGTCCTTTACCATGAAAACCTGTGGAATCTTTTAAGTAGACTATTTCCCTTTCTTCAATTTCTTTTAGAAGTTGTGAATTTCAGTAAAGACAAAATGTTATTGATAACAACTTCTTTTATTTCGTGAGTGGTAGGTTTCGAGACAGATTCTTGCACCGTTGAATCTGTATCGAAGTGTCGCAGTCACGAAATAAAAGAAGTTGATATCCATAAAAAGTGTCATTATTGTTCTCCCTTTCTTTTCTGTAACAAAATGCCGAACAGATTTTATGAATTTAGGGGTTTCATTACAAAATATAACAGAACAACCTACAACATTATGGCAATGCCTAAAACCAAAGACGTATATATATATACTGAGTCAAAAAAGAAATGTAATTTGAAAAATAATGAATAATTTTTTTCTGATGATACATCTATGTATCCGAAATGGGATCCCTATTTTTCGACTCTAGAAAAACGTTAGCAAAACCCACTCAAACCCATCCATTCGTCGTGCAAATGATGTTAGTGCCAAATCAGGTTTTGCACGTGCAGGCGATCACGTGATCTTCGCATCGAAGTTTTCTTCATATGCACGTGTTTGCATTGGCCTCAAGAATTGAAAAAACACTTTTAAACCACAGTTCTAACGGTACTTGAAATGCCACGATTGTCAAATGTGCAACGTGAACGTGCCGTTGGCATGTTGCAAGCGGGAAGATCAGTTATTGACGTCGCAAGAGCAATGGGATGCAGCCGTCGTATTGTGTATGACTTACGAGGTCGTCTACAACAAACTGGCATCACTTCTGATCGCCCAAGGTCGGGTCGTCCACGTGTGACGTCACGAGCAGAAGACCGTCAAATCGTCCTACGTCACCTACGTGAGAGATTTCTGCCGGCTACACGAACCAGGGCTGAGATGTTTAGAGGTCGACTGTCCTCACAGACCATTCGAAATCGGTTGCGGGCTGCCAATCTCCATTCTTGATGTCCAAATCGTGGGCCAATATTGACGCCGTTTCATCAACGTCAACGTCTGCTGTGGACCCAGAGAGACTGGAATCGAGTCGTCTTTAGCGATGAATCCAGGTTTACCCTCAGATTCGCGGACGGCAGGCATAGAGTGTGGAGACGACGTCGTGAACGGTATGCCCAATGTTGTGTACAGGAAGTCGACGGATTCGGGGGCGGAAGTTGCATGGTGTGGGGTGCTTTCTGTGGGAACAACCGTTCCCGACTTCTGGTCATCCGTGGAAACCTCACAGCTGCTGCTTACCGCGACCAGGTGCTCACCCCCTGAACTCGTTCCTTTCATGGCGGCTCATGGCCCAGGTCTACAGTTCCAGCATGATAATGCTCGGCCGCATACCGCGATGTTGACACGAAATTTCCTTCAAAACGCTGGAATCAACGTCATGGACTGGCCATCGAGGTCCCCTGACCTTAAACCAATAGAGCACGTTTGGGGTGCACTTGGGAGAAGGCTTCGTGGTCTTAGGAACCAACCTCAGAATTTGCAGGAACTTGGCTGCCTTGCAAGAGCAATGGCGCAGAATCCCCAACCACGTGTTCACAAGCATCAGGCAGTCGATGAGGAGACGGTATTTGGCAGTGGTGAATGCGCGGGGCGGCCATACACGATATTGAACTGAGAAATTTCGCATTTTTATTCTTGTGACTTGACATTCTGTATACCCATGTTTTGGAACGGCGGTGTAGCCTAATGGAACTGATTATGGCACTGTCAGTGTATCGAGTACATCACACAGATCTCAACAATGAAATAATAATAATTTAACCATCTTACCATCTCTTGTTCTTTTATAGTGCCCTGAAGAAGGAATGTGAAGTTTCTTTTTTGACTCAGTATATATACTTCCTTGCTAAAACCCATATACCAAACCTGAATTGTCACACACAAGTATAGACAAAATGCATTGAAATGCATGAAATTCCTGTAGAACAACCCTTAAACCCCACGTAGGCTTTTTGCAGAGCTATTACAAATACATAACAGCGGATGTCCGATGTGGAATGATTAGCAGAACGAAATATGTTTATAGCTGTACCAGCAATGCCTTAACTAATAGTCACTGAGGTGAGATCCCACAAGGACGTATGTAACATATATAAAGTGAGAGAGTTTAGTTTTACGCCGCACTCACCACTATTCCAGCTATATGGCAGCGGTCTGTAAATAATCGAGTCTGGACTAGACAATCCAGTGATCAGCAGCATGGGCATCGATCTACGCAATTGGGATACGATGACCTTGTCAACCAAGTCTGCGAGCCTGACAACCCGAACCTGCTAGTCGCGTCTTGCGACAAGCATGGGTTGCTGAAGATCAATTCTAACCCGGATATACCACGGCGGCTAGTATATTATGAAATCACTAGAAGGCAATGCTGTGACAGGTTTCACGGCAATAAGCATATACTTGTGCTTTCCAAAGCTGTGCATGAAGCTAACGAAAACTTCGAAATAAAGGTACAATTCGATTAAATCAAAATTGGGAACAAGTCGAAGGGTCGAGATAGCACTATGTATTGTGTGTCACGTGGCTTTCGGAACTTGGTCCGCTTGCACAAAGCGAACTCGGCGTTAGACAATCGCAACTGATATACTTACCTACTTTAGCAGAGGCTTATGATCGCCGTGGCGTTAAGATCGCTTTGTGCAAGTGGATCCACAGGAGGATAGGTTCTAGATATAGATACCAGGGGTTCGAGATAAGGAGGTTCGACTGTAAAGCTAATATGAAACGTATAACCACATGATATTCGCTTAAGTCGTCTCCATAACGTGAATGGAACAACTTGAACGTTTTAAACAGTATCTCGCTGAGATAGAGCAGACAATGCCATCCACTCTACCTTCCTTAAGGGGCGGTGGGGTAACCTAGAGGTTAAAGCGGTCTATAGTCACGCCGAACCCGGGTTCGAATCCCCACATGAATACAATCTGTGAAGCCCAATTCTGACGTGGAACATTGCGGCGTAAAACTAGACACACTCACTCACCTTCCGTAAAGTGTGTATCTGCCTTTTGGCTCGGGCCCCGGAGAAGACCGAGAAGGACGTCTTCATATCCCTCAGCGACATAGGAAGGGTCCATGTACAAGTTGCGAATGTCGATATCTTCATTCTTCTTCACGCCGTAGTGACCGGCAATCTGGGAGTGACCAAACCTGAAGGCGGCAGTGGCGAAGCTGTTAAATATTCCGGGATTGACGCTGTCGTCGTAGCTGTGGTCACCAAAGACGTCGAAGTATTCGTATATCAATGGCCCCAGCACTTTCCTCAGCCAGTTGTCGTATGTTATGTGCTGCATGGCTGCTATGATGATCTTCCTGGCCTCCTGGAATAGTCTCTCATCGTCCCACCCAGGGTTGACCTGGCGCAGTTCGGTTGCCAGGCGGTTGTGTTCCCTCACCCACAGGGTGTGCATGGCAACCAGCCCAGGGAACACATTCACGCGGAAGTCACCTAAAGGGTGCAATGTACATGGTTTTAATGTCTTGTCTTAATAGAAAAATACATCATACACCCGAATTGACAACTTGGTTCATGTTGATGATTTGTATTGAGCGCTAATGCCAACAAACACATGCTCATTATAAATATAGTAGTACTTTATCGCAGGATCCACCCATTGTGAGTATACATGTCGCCTAAAGTGGTTACACCCAGGATGGGGGTGTCGAATGAGGACTCAAGTGTAGTTTGGGATTAGTACCTGTATCCTATCACACAAGGGACGCAACTCTGCATCGTGGGCTCTTGTTTCTTCCACCATACGCAGTGGGTTTCCAATGTCTATTTCTTCCTTAGACCTTGTGTGGGTTATACTAACGGTTGAATGGAACAGACATTCTCTCGGTCATTTCAGCTACGATCATCATGGTGTCCCAAACAAGGAATGTTTTAAGTCTCTTTTTTCAATTAAATCAATATAAAAAACCAATGTCTTTGAGGAAGTGTAGTCGCTTCCTGAAGGGAGTGGTAACTCTCTTACCTGCATTGTAGCAAGAATGGCCGTTTTTCTTGACGCAAAAGGTTTTGTCAGATAAAGGTAGCATATTGCCCTCAGATGTAGCCAGTAAACCTGATAAAGAGATGCCAAATAATTAGTGGGGCGGTGGGATAGCCTAGTGGTTAAAGCGTTGGCTCGTCACGCCGAAGACCCGGGTTCGATTCCCCACATGGGGTACAGTGTATGAAGCCCATTTCTGGTGTCCCCCGCCGTGATATTGCTGGAATATTGCTACAAGCGGCGTAAAACTCGCTCACTCAATTAAGTAGTGCACATATACAGTGTACTTACACCAATGCTGCTTATTCTATCAAAAGGCACCGTGATCAATGCATAAGAATGCTTTAAGCTATTCGGCATGTTTACCTCGGTTATTGGATCTGTCTGCATTTGACGTTGATTCTCAACTCCCCGGGAAGAATTCAACTCCAAATGCCTGTGAAAGCCAGTTTCATCCTACCGGGTACCCGCGGCAAAACAGAGGCACATTATGAACCAAGTCACGTTTCTGGTGTGACGTCATATATACAACATGTGCTTCAGTGCTGGGCATGTCCGAATCCCTGGACACTCCGACAAGCTGGCAAACACGGTCCACCATACAAGGTCTCTCTGCGACCACCGTTGCCAAACAGCCTGGTTAAGGATCCCAGGGCTGTTGCCACGGACACGTACCGACACCACAGACACAGATATCGAACAGGCTATTAATTGAAGGGCCACACTTACGATTTATATTTCATTAATATTCAAATTATATCTTTTAGTAATAAATGACGATTAAGAGATTCCATACGTATTGAAATAGACATGCACATCTGTAATAAGGCGCGTCGTTCCAATTCATCAGAATGAGTGAGTAAGTTAAGTTTTACGCCGCACTCAGCAATATTCCAGCTATATGACGGCGGTCTGTAAATAATCGAGTTTGGACCAGACAATCCAGTGATCAACAGCATGTGTCAACCAAGTCAGCGAGCCTGACCACCCGATCCCGTTAGTCGCCTCTTACGACAAGCATGGGTTACTGAAGGCCAATTCTAACCCGGATCTTCACGTGTCGAACATCACATTAACATCGTTATAAAGAGACACAGGTGTGTTTTGTGTTACATCGTTACATGCCTCCTGCGCCGGTCCGTAGATTCGAACATTCTTCTGTGGAGCTACCGTAGACGTTGCTGGCGTCGATGTAGGAGGTGAGAACGTTCAGTTGCTCACGTCGACATCCCTCTGGAAATATACCGTACACGTGTAACACATGATCAACACTTGGGCGGTGGGGTAGCCTAGTGGTTAAAGCGTTCGCTCGTCACACTGAAGACCCGGATTCGATTCCCAACATGGGTACAATGTATGAAACCCGGCGTGACGAGCGAACGCTTTAACCGCTAGGCTACCCCACCGCCGGGGTGTTCTCTTTTTGCCTGCACGTATTGTTTAGGGATTAAAATTACAGGACCGTACTAGTCCTTACAACAATGGGGATTAAAGCTATAGTGTGTAGTAGAAATGTAAGTATGCCAGCACTTGCAGGTAAACAGTAAAGTTGATCACATTTTGTTTATTGCATATAGCACCCACAAATAGACGAATATGAGTCATTTGAAAATATGGTGACATTTTAAATTTTACTAATATTGCATGTAACATTGTATGCATACACAATATTGCATATATACAAATATACGAAAATGAATTATCTGACAAATATGATGAAATTTTAAATCAGCAAATACACAAAATAAGCGTTAAATGACACACCAGGAAATAAATATTTATGTGCACTGTGCATTATACATAAATACATACAATTGTATAATTTGTTTCACATGACATAATAATCCCATTCACAATCCCACCAGATGAGAAACGGCATCACCATAAGCAAGTGGTGAGATGGTACCAGTTAAGAGTCCATGTTTCTCAAGGTCAATTCTTTCTTCAAGGTGCCGGTAGTGAACTCCACTTACTGGAACAGACTATAATTGTGCAGGCACCCTGGACTGTTAATCCTAATCCGCTTACAGCCAATTAAAGTGCAGGCAAAAAGAGAATACATCCCACCGCCCCCGACAGTGTGACTAACGATCCTGTAAAAGCAACTACAGTCAAATCCCGATGAGTCGAATGCCGGTGTCTCGAATATTATGCATAACTCGAAGTACCTGTCGGTCCCGACCATTCCCTGTTATAGTTGTCATCATTTGATTTCCGGTTACACGAATTCGTCTCATAAATACACACGATGACTCGTATTCTGGTTAATAGCTATCTGCTTTCCTCAATTCATGTAAGGCCATGTCTATGTCTTCACTTGTATTCGACGCTTTCTTTTCCTCGAGGACTACGTTACTGCTTAAATCGAACAATGCAAAGTTGAAACAGGTAATTGTTTACATCTATAGAAATTGTCGAAACACTAACGACAATTTATAGTTCTACCGATGCTAAATATTGTAACCTGTCTTTTGATATATTGCCAAACAATTGATACATCACCAGTTGGTTGTATCGTTATCTAAATGTACACAATGTGGTTTTAATGTGAGTGAGTAATTGGTTATCTTCCTACGTTGTCATCAGGTAAACGAAAGGTTGACAGTATGAGCATACATCTACACGGTCAGAGACGATAACACACAATCATTAAACTCCACATTGTTACAGCACAGTTCTCATCATTCTTCCGACAAGCATGGGATAGGAGGAGGTTGTACCTAGCTTCTTGTGTTGTTGGAATGATACAACGGATTTCTTTGACAAGATTTATAAAACCTTTACATGGATCATAAATCCTTCACATGGATCACACGGAAACCTGTCACAACCCATTTGTTTGAAATATCATGCGTTGTGCCCGTAAACGTATTCAAACTCAAACTTTTATTCCGTATAAAGGCCATAGGCCCAATACAAAAACTCACAAAATAATAATGATAGTGACAAAATGGTTAGATACACCTTTTAAAAACTTCTTAACCTTAAAGCGTCTTTTACAAATTTTGCTAAGTTAATTAGGATATTCATTTTATCACAACTTAATAACATAGTAATTTATAAATAGAAGGATGTTTCCACAAATTTTCAGGAATATACTTTGTCTTAACATGGAATAAACTTTACATATTAACAGAAAATGGTATTCATCTTCTATACATCCATTCATACATAAATTACAAAATCGTTCATCGCGAATAACACCGTAACGTCTACCAACGTTTATCATTAATGGCAATTTCCCAGATCTTAGCAAAAATAAAAGCCTTCTGTATTCGCGATCCTTTAGAGTACCCAACATAACCTGTTAGAAATAACGTACAGCAGTTGTTTAGGTTCCATGAAAAAGTTTAACCCGGATCTCCTTGGTCAATCAACAGCTAGGGTTGCAGGTAAACAGCTTGTGTCAACATTTCAAGCCATACATCATGAAGGCAAATGAATAAATGAACTGATGGGGAACCGAGTCGTTTGTTTAAAACTTAATCGATAAAACACATCACATTTCCAGAAAACAAGGGGTCTAAGAATTTGTGACAAATCTAGCTGATATTAATGTGTTCGAAACTATACTTCCGGAAAGGTAGATTGTTCGAAGAATCGATGGTAAAGCGACACGCTAGTATACTATAACAAAATCTTTCAGTCTCACCACGCTTCTTAAAAGGCAAATGGATTGAAGGACCGATGATAAATAGCGATACTAGTATACTACGACGAAATGTATCATGAAATTTGTGTAATTTTTCATTTGTAACATCTTGTAATGACAACACGATATCATACTGATCCTAAGTAAATCACTGAGGTCGCTGGGGCAATGTTTTGTAATAGGCGTTTACAAAATGGACTCTGTAGGTGCTACAGCTGCCGCATCAGGTTGTCATGGAAACATCTGAACCCATAACCGATGAAACAGAAGCAAACAAGAATTGGTTTTTCGACGGTCATGTACTTGATATGTGTATTACATTTCTGTGTTTGGTAACTCTTTTCAGTAAAGCAACATTTTGGCAACGTTTGTAATATTTTGATCAAATATATATAATTTTTAAGTGTTTGGCTTTTGTTTATACAATCATCCTTGTCTGGTTCTTAGGAGATTGAGTATGAATAATGTTATTTTGACAAAATACGCCGTCTAAAGGCTTTCGTAACAATATACGTTTAGTTTAAACATATTTTATTCACAATGTGAAAAGGATCGGGGACAAGTTCTTTCAACTTATTAAACCCCTCTTCGAAGATATTTACAAATAACTAATAACCACACAAGCAATTATTAGAAACAGAGACAGAGAAAGACTGAAAGATAACAGGAGGAAATGCTATAATACAAAAGGTGTTAGAGAGAAGACTACTGGAATCGTTTAGATTTGCATATACATTGATGTACATTTTTTAATATAATTTCATTTTTATGATTTGTCAGATCTGCAATGCCGTTTAAAATAACAGATAATGTAATCACAGAATTACTACATATATCTTGAATAGCTTTAAGCATGATCTTTCTATGTTGATTGAGTAAAGAACATTCTAAGAAATAGTGATGAGCATTTTCGCATGGGTTTCCACATGCGCAGGATGGATAAGTGATTAGCCCTACTCTGTACAGCTCGTAACTTAATCTACTAGCTTCATGACGTAGTTGAGTATGGAATATGTTAAATTTTCTAATACCGTAATAAAAGTACAGTGGAGCTGAGTTATATGATGTTATTATGCTCGATTTAAACTTTGATAGTGAAGTACAATTTCTTACATTTGTAGGTAGATTGTTCCACAATCTTATAGTTGATGGGAAGAACGACTCATGAGAATGTTTTATTCTTGTTCTTGGCAAGCAGATATTGCCTGAATTTCTTAGATTATATTGACTCCTGGAGCCCACGTTCTGAGGAATTATTTCTTTTAGGTAGATTGGACTTTTGTTGTTTTGAATATTGTAGAACAAAGACAATTTTCTTATTCTTCTACGCTCTGATAGTGCTTCCATGCCTGTTTTATAATATAGTGAATTAAAAGAAGAATATTTGGGAAGTCCTGTAATAATTCTTGCAGCTTCCATCTGGAGCCTTTCCAATTTTAAACTTAGTTCTTTTCCGCAGCCATCCCAGACTTCGCATGCGAACTCAAAGTGTGGTCTAAAAACTGTGTAAATCTTTAGAAGTGTATTTCTGGTAAGAATATATTTAAGTTTTCTCATTGAGTAAATCATTTTAGAGGTTTTGGAAACAATATTAGATACATGGGAGGACCATTTGCCGTTCGATGAAAGTATTATCCCCAAATGTTTATGATCTTCTACCGTTTTAACAATCTTATCGTCAAATAGTAAGTTAATCAAGTAAATATCATCTTTAAGTGAGAAAAGTATTTATTCTGTCTTATCTGGGTTGTATGATATCAACCACTTGTTTGCCCAGTCGTTTAACCTTCTGAGATTTATGTTTAATGAGGTTTCTATTCTGTTAAGATTTCCAGAAGCCTTGCCTAATGATGTGTCATCTGCAAATAGTCGCGTTATGCAATCTAAGTCATCAGCAATATCATTTACATAAACAATGAATAAAAACGGACCCAACACTGATCCTTGTGGGACGCCAGCTTGGAGTAACCTTGGTTTAGACAGGGCTCCATTAACAAAGACCTTTGATAGCGATTATATATGTAATTACATAACCACTCTAACAATCTACCTTTAATACCATACATTTCCAATTTATGTATAAGCCCTCCGTGCCAAACACGATCAAAAGCCATCGAAACATCACAAAGACCATACAATATTGGTCCTTATCATCTAGAGCTTGGCATATTTGATGATATATTTCAATTAATTGATGGACAGGTGAACTCCCAGCTTGAAAACCAGCTTGGTATTTGTACAATAACTTGTTCTCGTTGAAATAGTTAGATATATGCTTGAATACAGCTCTCTCAAACAGTTTACCGACACAACTTATAAGAGATATCGGTCTGTAGTTTGATGCTTTAGTTTTGTCACCTTTCTTGAATACAGGCATTACATGTGCTAATTTCCATTCTGATGGATACGCACCTTTTCGTAATGACAATTCAAAAAGCAAACATAATGGCGCATTTATTGAATGAGCAGTTTCTTTTAAAAGCTTATGACTTATTCTGTCGGGACCCGCAGCTTTATTCAGTGGCAAACATTTAATTATATCTGTAATTTCCTGTTTAGTCACTGATATAAATTCTAAAGTGGATTTTGTACGTCTACCAAATTGAGGAGGAGCCATATTCTCGTCATTTACACAGGAGATCGAGGCAAAGAAGTTAATTAAAAATTCAGCTTTATCAATATCTGAGAAAAGCGACGGGTCATTATCATTAGGATATTGTTTGAGAGGGGGAATGCAAGTTGCTGTACCTGAATGTTTTACAACATATCGCAGCATTTTCCAGTAGGAGGGTTTATTTTTAAAGTGTAATTCAGTGATAAAATCATCAATTTTGGAATAAGAATTCTCTTTTGCATGGTATTTCATATTGTTAACTTTATTTCTCTGTTTCTTATACAATCGAATATCTCTTTCACTATCAGTTCTTTTTGCTTTCTTTCTCATTCTATCAGGTTTTCTGCATTCCCGTCTCAACTCAGTATCGAACCAAGGCTTATCACCAGGACGAATCGTTACAGTTTTAGAATGTACACATGAACTAACATATCCTATGAAACATCGTGAAAGACTTTACATGCATCATCAACACATTCACAGTTGTTAAAAATATCAAACCACTCAGTATTTTCGATAAGATTGTTAAGTTAATCGTATTTACCAGTTTTGTAATATACGTTGACATATACATGTAGTCTATATACTTACGAGAAAAGTCCTTCAAATAACTTGCATTCCCTGTGGTAACAGTTTCGGGTTATGGTGAATAACGGATAATTTCCCAGAGTGAATAATGTTTCACTTGAAACATTTAGTGAATCGGGGTTCCCCGATACGTAACAAAATCTGTGAAATTGTTTGAATGACGTCACTTCAAAATGACTTTGACGTAATAAACAATACATGGCAGTTGTTTCTTGTGAAGACCTAACGTCAAACTAAATACATATCCTATAGCACTGAGTATAACCTGTGTGGAATGTTTGATGTTGATCAAACATAACTGAATTATTGGCAGGGTTCTGTCAACACTGCTCGAGCATCACCAAATATGTTTCTACCTTCTACCTGTCTCTACCTTCCTCCAAGTCTGAAAATTACTCCATCCTTTCCATGAGAGTTGGGATATCAGATAAAACATAATTTGTATCTAACTGCCTTCAATGCAGTCGACCCTATGGGGTGTACAGAGAAAATTAGATTCAACATTTTTGTACATCAATTTGAATTCTATATTGAATTAAATGACAAAACAGGAGGCGTTTACAGTCTGCCATCGTCAATGAATTGAGTGTGTTTTGGACATCCCAAAGACTCAGGTATTGTCAAAGGAAAGACCAAAGGTCCAATAGTACCATCCCGGTCATAGTGGGATTGTACAAAGAAAAAGACTTCTCTCTATGTCGACTCTAAACGACTCCAGCAATGTATGCCGATGGTCTAGAAGAATCAAGAGCCGTGGCTTTCGGAAAGCGAGTACAGTTCTTGCACATTCAATGTGAAAATGGATGCTATGAATTTAATAGCATTCTCAAACAAAAATCAGTTTCCCTAAATGTCCCCAATTATTTGCAACTTCAGGAACCACCATCGGCGCCATTTTCTGCGAACACTATTTCATCCAAACTGATGGACCACAGGTTATAAGAACGGAAGCCAGGCCATGGATTTGGCGGGTCATTTCTATTTGTTTGTTTGTTTGTTGTTTAACGCCGCACTCAGCAATATTCCAGCTATATAGCGGCGGTCTGTAAATAATAGAGACACTAACCAGACAATCCAGTGATGAACAGCATGAACATCAATCTAAGCAATTGCGATATGACGACATTTGTCCACCAAGTCAGCGAGCAGCTCATGATATAAATTTCACTACAAGCCCCTGCCAAAATTTATAACACTGTTACCAGCCTGTAGTGGTATGAGGGCGGCGGGGTAGCCCAGTGGTTAAAGCGTTCGCTCGTCACGCCGAAGGCCCGGGTTCGATGCCCACATGGGTAAAATATGTGAAGCCAATGTCTGGTGTCCCCGCCGTGATATTGCTGCAATATTGCTAAAAAGCGGCGTAAAAACCATACTCACTAACTCACTGACTGTTGTGGTATGATCACTGGTGACCTCTCTGTTACGTACTGTAAACATTATCAATGAAATGTAATCGTCACACAGTCGTATCAGAATAAAGTGTTATAAAAAGCAAAAGAGCGGGGAAATATACATATGGCTTACTGACAACCCGTTACTGGAAATCAAGAAGGGTTTACTTACATTCACAGAAAGTTTTTGAAACAAGTCAGTGGAATATCAGGTTGGTAAAATATTGGCTTGGTATTAGCAATCTCAGAGAGGAGTTCAAGTTCAATTCAGTTTTGTTACAGGCACGAGGAGGACGTTTCCAAATGTAGTGTATGAATGATCATCGTAATGTCTGAGGAAATTCCTCAAATTGACCTTTATAATTGTTGTCCTTTTTCAGACGAACAAATGAATTTGGAGAAATTCACAAGCACCGAAATAATGTTGACAAACCTTTAAACATGACCAAGGCGTATCTGAGATCAGAACCCACAAGAAAAAGGATAAGCATGATTAAATTATACAACTTCGTACAAATAATTCATTATTACGGAACCTTGTTAATCCGGACAATATCACTGGGAAGGGTAAATTCTGGATTAAAGGGGTACTTCATGAGACGACGGACAAACTGCAGTGAATGTTGTCGAGTGCCACGTATCATTTCTCATACGACTGATACAGTATTGCTTTTTTTCATTTGAAAAAGCATTTCCACGCGACGTTATTTGGAAATCAATGCATTTCAGCCAATGGGATTAAGGCATACACACATCCGCTTCACAAACATCAATGATGTAGGCTCCAAACGCTATATAAACGTGCGTATTGCACAGGACTTCAGTGCGGGAGGCAGCTCCTGGTGAAAGAGACAGTGACGAAGATGTTACTGACAACGCTGTTTTTAGCAGGCATCATTGTTGCTGCAGGTAAATTATTATCTTACTTCTCAATTACACTATTTATTTTATTTTATTTTTTTTATTTATGAAAGGGGCTTAACAATACAACTGTATTGACAAAATAGTAATAATGTTTACTGTTACATGTCTCTCTATATTGTATTGGAATCTGAACATCTCGCTCTTTCGACTTATTCAGTGGACCATTCAGATTTAATCCACTAGATACAGGTGGCTTATAATATTGTGTTACTTTAGATTTAGTACATTCTAAGTGATGTAATTCTCCAAGCAAGTTTGGTCGTGTAGCATCGGAACTCTCTCTGTGAACGTCACTGGTTCATTACAATGGTTTAAGACTCAAAGTGAGTGAGTAACTATGGTTTTACGCCTCTTTTAGCAATTTTCAAGCAATATCTCGATGTGGGAAACCAGAATTGGGCTTCACACATTTTACTCATGTAGGAAATCGAACCCCGGTCTTCAGCGTGACGGGCGGACGCTAAAACCACTAGGCTACCCAAACGCCCTAAAACTCAAGGAGTTATGGACTTCAACTTTCAATATTCTTTCAATGCAATGCCCAAAGTGATGCAACTCTTTGACTCAAAATGATTTAAGGAATTTTTACAAGCACCATGGTGGCATAGGGAGTGAGTGCGCTTTTAGAATATTTCAGCAATATCTCGACGGGGACACCAGAAATTGGCTTCACACAAATGTACCTCTTTTCCAAATCGAACCCGGGCCTTCAGGCGTAACGAGCGAACGCTTGAACTACTAGGCTACCCCACCGTCCCGTGTTATCGGGAGACACATACACTAAGATGAGAAGGCGAGACTCCTTGTATCCATGATCCCTGCAGTAACACTCCGAATATGATTCCCAATGAATATTTGTTGGATACACATATCCGCCGTGTTTGATATAAAATGCCTCTCAGTATACATTCTGTACATTCCTCGAAAGGTCTATTTTAGATCAAGTCCTATTGCAGAGATACTTCTCCGGGGATATCAGAATGTTATTGTGGTTTCAAGATTCCAGTTAGAATTGATCTTCAGCAACTCATGTTTGTCGTCAGAGGCGACTAACGGGATGGGATGGTCAGACTTGCAGACTTGGTTGACTCATGTCATCATAGCCAAATTGCGTAGATCGATGCTCATGCTGTTGATCACTGGATTATCTGGTCCAGAGTCGATGTTTTACAGGCGGCCGCCATATAGCTGGAATATTGCTGAGAACGGCGTTCAACAACAAACATACAAATCCAGATTCCAGATTACGGAACTGGTTATTTCGGGTTCCATGCCCGAACTCCTGAGTTTAACCAGTTTGGGGTGACCTGCCCTTGCGTTACTGAAACAGCTTTTCAGCTGACTGATTCCTGGTCACTTCGATGTTTACAGGCGGTTGGAGAACTGTGCACAAGATGATACCAGAAATTGTCGACGCCATGGAGACCAATACCGAGGCCGAGAAGACCTTCAACGAAGGCAATAAAGCTGAAGTCATCCTCGCGCGAGAAAGGGCGAGACTGAGCGAGAGAATCGCAAGGTAGGGATTGGCTGATGTATTACCATCCATCTGTGTTTTTCTGTATGCATCATACACTCACCATTTCATTCATGTCTGTTGCTTTTGGCATTGTATTCCTCCACATCAATGGAAGATAACAGCTTTGTTAATGAGTGTGGTTTTAAGCCGCTTTTAACAATATTTCAAAACTATACACTGTTATTGTGCGTCACACAATGTACCCATGTAGGTAATCGAACTCAGGTCTTTGGCGTGACGAGCGAACGTTTTAACCACTAGGCTACCCCATAGCCCTGACGGCGGGTAGCAGATGTGTTTTTGTGTCTGAACATAGTTTGTACTTTGTTGGCCGAACACTGAGAGTTGGTTTAACCAATGAAACGTTAAAGTGTATTGAAGTTTAAAACATATATTAAAAATTTGTTGGCGGATTTTTTTTACAGTAAATAATCGTTAATTTTACTGGAGACAATTTGTGAGTTTATTTCTTTCCGCTTATCTTCATATACGGTTAACTTCTGCATGAATGTTTTGTTCGTTTGTTTGTTTTCAGTAAATGTGACAGGAAGCTGAAATACCGGCCGCTAGATGGCGTGTGC